TGTGATTAAATATTCATGTTCAGTGTAATTCATATATGACTGTACATGTAAGTGTGAAGCCTTCTTCCTCCAATAAATATGATTAATAATTATTTCATTTTTCATGCGCGTACATGTTCTGTTCATTAATGACCTTCGTGTACATGTAAGGATTCCTGGCATACTATCCAGAATCAATTTCTACACTCTTATAGTTCCATTGTTTATTGGAAATCTCATTTCTGAGTTAGCTCCGCCCATTAAATTAATAAACCCCGCCCACTGGGACTGCTGGGACTGCTTTCTGGGACTGCTGGGACTGCTCTCTGGGACCGCTGGGACTGCTGGGACCGCTCTGGGACTGCTGTGGGACTGCTCTGGGACCGCTATGGGACTGCCCTGGGACCGCTGTGGGACTGCTTTAGCAGTCCCAGAAAGCAGTCCCCGGGACTGCTCTGGGACTGCTTTGTGTCAGGTTGGGTCTGGTCGGTACTGTACTGATCAAATTTTAGTCAGAGTTTAAAGTTTGGTATTTTTCTTGTAAAAAATGTGTATCCTAGGTCAAGCGATCAGAGGTAAAAATTACTGGTACCCAAATAAAAGGTCTTAATTGTCACAAGAAATAAACCTATAAAATGTGGAAGCCATTTGTATAGCCCATCCCACTTAAAACTTATGGGTAAGCTAGCTAGGTTATAATTTCTGCAGACTAATAGACAGACATAATATAAACACAAGAAACAAAATATGTATAATAATTAGTCAAATGGAAAAATATACTATTTAATTGGAATCACAAAAAAAGATTGTTATTTCAGGGACAGGAATTGGGTAGGTAGATTGGAATCCCCCCATCCCCCCATCTGGAATTTGCTTTGTTGTTAAAACAAGACTATATACTGAAGCAAATAAAAATGACTCTGGACATCCTCCCCCGGACTTAGATAACATTGACCTCACTATCATTGTTTTTTATTTGTTTATTTGTTTTCAGTTTTTTCCTCCTGCTTGTCAGGAAATTCTGGGCTGGAATTTTTTGACTGAGATGTGAACCCCCCTCCCTACTTCCGAAAAAAATTCTGGATCCGCACCAGTATTGGCAGTAAGTTCAGTAACAGAATGTCACATTGACAACGGGAGATAACTTCACAATATGAAATTCGTCTAGTGTGGCATGCGATGATCTTTGACCCTTTTTGAACTTTAACCTAATCGTTTGGGTGTATTTTACCCCCCCCCCCCCCACCCACTATACTTAAACTTCTACTTACCGACTGCCTGTGTCTCATCAACTTCATGAAATATAAATCCAATTATAACACAAAATGAATTAATCCAATGCACACCAGACTGCAGCCATGTGCTAATTCCATTCGGCGAACCTTCGTCGATTCCGTCACCTTATCAGATGAATTGGGAATCGGCCGAGGTGTGCAAAATGGTGTTTAATCTATAAATATGATAATGGGTGACCCAACGTGATGTGATGTAGAAATTTACATGTTAACATGTATAGTACAAGAACAAATTTTAAATTAATTCATAACAAACGATATTAAATCTTAACAAACCTTTTCCATCTAGCATATTCCAAAAAGTATGTGCTGTGTGATTGTGGTGTCGAGTGGGGGAGGGATTAGTAAATTTAAAATGGTCCTATTATGAGCAAAACATATATCAGAATCTAATTTCAGGCGCGGATCCAGAAATTTTTTCCAGGGGGGGGGGGGTCCACCTCAGTCCAAAAAAAATCTAATCCCAGAAATTTCTTGACAACCAAAAAAAAAAACCCTAAAGTAAAAAATGTGTAAATATCGTGGTGGGGGGGGGGGGTAGTGGCGACTTCTATTGCCTCAAATGTTTAACTTTTCATACCCATTTTACACATATTTGTGTTTACCAGGGGGGTCTGCGTTTTCCAAGGGGGGTCCATTGTAACTTTTTCCTTTTTTTAGTATATACATTTTTTAACTTTGTAAATTGACCCCCCTGACCCCCCCCCCGCCCCGACAGATCCGCGCATGAATTTACATCATTAATAGAATTCAGACTGGTATACTGGTATATAATGAATTAAGCATGTATAAAATAAATATAAGAGGTTCTGAGTTATAGGTCACAGGGTTTGAGAATTTCATATTCAATTTGACGAATACATGTAAATTATAGAATTATTTTGACTTTTTCCGTGGAAAGCCGCCCAATATGTAGGAGCGTGTATTTACAGGCAAACACCTTAGTGCGGGTATTACTGTCTCATGACAGCATCTAATTACCTATGATAAGACCTTTCTAGATGAAGCTTAACCTACTTTTCAAAAATGTTGCATATGCTTATAATTTTTGATTGAGAAGAGATATGACTTTCACATTTGACTTGTACGCTACTCATAAGAATTGAAGATGTTTCCTTGGATGCTATGATTTTTTTACCCTATGTTGTTGATGTTTTACCTAATTTTCAAAATATTTAACTCTCCTTAAAGATGATGAGGCTACTGATTTGACCCCATGGGGCAAAATCAAAATGCCAAAACCTTACTGCACATCTACATGACACCAACAGCACTCTGCCAAAAGATGATTAGGCTGCTGAGTAAAATGTAGAAGGAGATCAGGGAAGAAGGGGCTTTTAGCATAAAAAAACCTCATTTTCGACCCCCATTTGACCCCGCGGGGTGAAATCAAAATCGCAGCACAGTTAAGGTTACAGTAAGGAGGCGGGGCCTAATTTGTACGGGAAATGTTTACTATGACGTCACGCATAATATAAGGTCTTCAAATACCATAAAATGAAATATTTGCTATTTTAAACACCTGGATAGCTGTATACTACATAAAAACTTACTATTACATGCAGTTTTGTCGCTTGTAACATCCCACACAACAGTATATAAACGATGCATCGATCGCAATGCACTTGTCAATGTGACGTCATCTCGGAAAAATGACGCAGCTTGTACACAGTGAAAGACTGATCAAGTTACATTTTGTACAATGAAAAATGTCATTTGTTCTCAAATAAAATATTATTTGCAATTAAATAAAAAGCCGTTAACTTGGATGCGACGTCTATTTTAGTATTTAATTTATAAACTGTACGTACATGTTCCAGACAAGCGATACTAACGTGTGTTTGTATGCAGATTCATTGAAATAGTACTGGTAGGGCCCTAATAAATCGATTTATTGCAAGGGCATACCCTCAATGTATCTTGTCAAGATTTTAAACATAAACTCAAGAAGCATTAAGATATTTGAAAAGTGCTGCGAACCTCTTGAAATCTTGTAAATAAATTAATTATAGCTATATTTAATGTAGTTGACGAGCAAAATATTCAACCTGCCGTTACACAAATTAAATTTTAGCAATTAAAAATGGGAATCTATATAGGTTCGCAGCACTTTTCACAAACTACATATGGTGTTGAAAAGGATAATAAATTAAACTAAGATTTTTAACTTGGTTATGCCCTTGCAATATTTGAAATTTATAGATGACCTCTAAACTGCAAGTATAATTGCTAAAGTCATGTGACGTCGACATGACATGACAAGTCTAAATAAAAAATCTGAATGTCCCCAACATGTAGATTTAAACCACATTACATTTTTTTCTATATCAGTGAAGTCCTAAAAAGAATCGCCCATCCTAATAAAGTATGTATTTTTTATCTTTAAAAATCGCCGATATTTCCATTTGTAACCTTAACTGTGCTGCGATTCCGAAACCTTACTGCACATTTACATAACACCACCAACCATCTCCCAAAAGATGATTAGACTGCTGAGTAAAATATAGAAAGAGTTCAGGGAAGAAGGTATTTAGCATAAAAAAGCCTCATTTTTCGACCCCCATTTGACCCCCCAGGACAAAATCAAAATACTGAAACCTTACTGCACATCTACATGACACAACCAACCATCTCCCAAAAGATGATTAAGCTGTTGAGTAAAATGTAGAAGGAGTTCAGGGAAGAAGGGGCTTTAAGCATAAAAAACCTCATATTTTTAGACCCCCATTTGACCCCCCCGGGGCAAAATCAAAATGCCAAAACCTTACTGCACATCTACATGACACAACCAACCATCTCCCAAAAGATGATTAGGCTGCTGAGTAAAATGAAGAAGGAGTTCAGGGTAGAAGGGGCTTTTAGCATAAAAATCGTCATTTTCCGATCCCCATTTGACCCCCCGGGGCAAAATCAAAATTCCGAAACCTTACTGCACATCTACATGACACCACCAACCATCTCTCAAAAGATGATTCGGCTGCTGAGTAAAATTTAGAAGGAGTTCAGGGAAGAAGGGGCTTTTAGCATATAAAACGTCATTTTTCGACCCCATGCAATCCCTTGGGGCAAAATCAAAATTCCGAAACATTACTGCACATCTAAATGACACCACCAACCATCTCCCAAAAGATGATTAAGCTACAGTGAAAAATGTAGGAGGAATTCAGGGTAGAAAAGTGTGACAGACGGACGGACGGACATGAATTACAACAATATACCCGAACTTTCTTTAGAAAGGAATGCATTAAATCATGTTGTACATATGTAGTGATTGTAGTTGTTGTACTTCTTATTAATGTTATTTTTTAACAAAAGTGAAATAAAGTTATATCTTGTAATGGACAGGCAAAAGAAAATGGTAATGAAGTTCACATCAGATTTGTTGTCACATTTTTTGTTTAATTTTGAATTTGAAAATTGACTCGATTTATTTTGAAGTTTTGAAATCGACAAAAGAGTCGTCATTGGCTTACATCTTACAGCATAACTATGAAATTTCATGCAGAAGGCTCGGGGATAAAACACACAAACTCTCAAAAAGTTAATAGGCACATTACTAAAAGATGTTTTAGACTACGTGTTTCACACATTGTTTAACCTCCTATTTAAAAATTTGATTAGATTTAAGAATTCTAATATTTCATTTTTAAAGGAACTAAACAAAGTAATGCATGATAGCATTAAAAATTGTGTCTGTTTTTTCATTCTAAAATTTTAAAAATTCACCTTTGCATGTCTTCGGATATTTGGAAAAATCTGACTTTTTAGTCTTCTTTCCTCCCTCGAGATTAACAGTCTCATACTGAAAGATGAAAATAAAAAGAAAACAATTTTACATGACTGTGTTTCTGTATCATTTTCATTTAAATAGAAACCAAAGTAAAAAAAAAATACCTGTGATGTCACTCTTTTATTTAAGCGCCCCATTATTTTTTTTAGGAATGGGGAGTTGCAAAGTACATTGAAAACGGAATTTTTATGTTTTTATTCTCCTTCTCGTGCCCCAATAAAAAAAAAACTTCGAAAAATTTAATCAAGTTTATTTGCACTTAAAGAAAATAAGCATGCCGCTGTTAAGGTAGAACCTATGTCGGAGAAGTCTTTGTCACAAGATTTTCAAACTTTTCATAATGATAAATTAGCACTTGCTTATCAATCAGTTAAAAGCACATGACAGGTTTCCTTGTTATTAAATGTAGTGCAACCAGTTAAACATGGAATGATAAATACATATTGCGACTTCACAATTTCAGTCATTTTAGGGGTACTTGTCTTGCAAAGAAGACAAAAAAATCCCAAAATTACTTATTTAAACATCGTTGTTTTTATTGTTTATTAATTGAACAGTATTAAACAATATTTCCCGAGAATAAATTCTTTTTTATTCAATTGACATAAAATATAAGTCCACATTTTCAAAACTATAGGCAAATGAACTCTATTTATTTTCAGTCAAATTTCCACCCTACATTGTTAAATATTTTTCAGAAGTCTTTGTCACAATGTTTTCAATCTTTGATATGATAAAGAACATTCCCAAATGATTACAAAAAGTGATTAAAATATATACCTTTCCCCTCTAACTAATGAGAGATAGGTTATTTACCGATGCTAATATTCTTGACCTTTTTGCACTTACATGGATTTTATTATTAAATGACTATTTGGGGCTACTTTCAGATCAAAGATGTTTATAAAAAATGTGCTTTTAATTTAAAAGATCATATTAAATAGAGAAATTGAAATAAAACTCCTTGAATATGAATAAGTAACAAATAATTATGAAAAGGAATGCATATCATTTCATGATAGATATCACAAAATGTACACACAATCTACAACATGTACATCTTTGACCTCGACACATTTCTTCAATATATTACACTATTTAGTTGGCAACTGACGGTTTTTTAAAGGATTTTCGCATTCCTTCAAAATAGTTACATACCATTTACATTATTACAGTAAGTTGTATACATGGCAATTTCATCACACAAGATAGTCTTGGATTTGTCAACTTAATTAAGGTCAAGATCTATTAAATGAAAGGTGCCTGCAGGTTTCTCTAATTCAAGAAAAATATATTCATTAAGTATTATATTTTAAAAAAAAATATAAATCGAATTAAGATTATTTCGGCATGATTTTAAATTGAATTCTGTGAATTTCAAAATGCAGTATTTTCTACCATTTTTATACTGAGGCTGTAAAGTATGGGAAATGACATTGAATTAATTATGACGTCATAATGGATCTAGCACAGGCTAAACACATTCACTAGTTATGATGTCAGACGACGTAGGTTCTACGTTAAGAGCTGAAACCGGGACCCTCACCAGTTTGAGAAAGTTGCATTTGTGGTCATTGCACTAATAAAAGCTATCGAAGCTGTTGAACGATTATAGGATTAGAACAACTTCAGTACACTTTGTGTGCCCTACTTTATATCTCTATATATTTTATATTATACAAATATCTACATGTATTGTATATAATTTAGAGTACATCATATAAATAATTATATTTATCATGTATTAACAACCAATAAATACAAGCAATTAAAGAGGCAGATTTTACGCGGGTTATTACACATGTACCTTCGGGGCCTCGGCTACATTACTTTAAAGGAATGGAGCGCTACTCGTCCCCATACAAAAAATCAATAAAAACATATTATTGTATTTTTTCCTGATTAATGGAATATCTAAAATCTAAAAAATGACGTGTTTGATTTTATTGGAATTTTTTCTGATGCATACTTTAACAAGAAGCCCAAGGATCTTAACGGTCACCTGAATGCGCAGTAGAATACAACAAACTAGTGCTAATTGTGTAACGAGAAAATGTAATAAATATTTGATATTTGCTGGTAAATTCAGACAAGACTGAAAATCTTTGAACCCATATTTTTGTCAATTTCTGTGATATAGCTCTTTTATTGTAACACCTAACTAATTTGTTCTTAGCAATAAGGATATACACCTGTATATTTCAAAATATCTAATATTAAAATATATGAATATCTAAGTACAAACACAACTCAACACATCTCAGACTCTGTTCAACCTTTCTTGAATAACAAAAATAAGTATTTAAGGAGAAACCTTTTTGAGTCATGGCCAATTAATGATAAGCAAATGCCCATTACATGTTGGGCAGAATGAAGGTATCCTACAGGCATTGGACAGGTTCCAATACCTGTTGGGTTGTATTTTGTCGAAGGGATTAAACTACCCAAGAACAATAAAATATGTGTACACTGTTCAATTCTATTTGGATTTCTTGAATCTCCTGATCAAATTACAACCCAACAGGTAATAGACACCTGTCTAACTCTTCTTGGATATCTACATCCCACCCAACAGGTAATGGACACTTGTCCAATTCTTCTTGGGTTTCTTGAATTGCTTCTTCAGAATACCACCCAACAGGTAATGGACATCTGTCCAAATCCTTTTGGATATCTACATCCCACCCAACAGGAAATGGATACTTGTCCAATTCTTTTTAGGTTTCTTGAAAATCCTTATTAAAATACCATCCAACAGGTAATGGACACCTGTCCAAGTCCTCTTGGATATTTAAATCCCACCCAACAGGTAATGGACACTTGTCTAATTCTTCTTGGGTTTCTTGAATTGTTTCATACGAATACCACCTAACAGGTAATGGACATCTGCCCAACTCCTTTTGGATATCTACATCCCACCCAACAGGCAATGGACACTTGTCTAATTCTTCTTGGTTTCTTGAATTGCATTATTAAAATACAACCCGACAATTAATGAATACCTGTCTAACTCCTCTTGGATATCTACATACCACCCAACAGGTAATGGACACTTGTCCATTTCTTCTAGGGTTTCTTGAATTGTTTCATCAGACTACCACCCAACAGGTAATGGACATCTGTCCAACTCCTCTTGGGTATCTACATCCCACCCAACAAGCAATGGACACTTGTTTAATTCTTTGGTTTCTTGAATTGCATCATCAAAATACAACCCAACAGGTAATGGACACTTGTCCAATTCTTTTTGGGTTTCTTGAATTGTTTCATCAGAATACCACCCAACAGGTAATGGACACCTGTCCATCTCCTTTTAGATATCTAGATCTCACCCAAAAAGCAAAAGGACACTTGTCTAATTCTTGGGTTTCTTTAATTGCATCATCAAAATACAACCCAACAGATAATGGACACCTGTCTAACTCCTCTTGGATATCTACATACCACCCAACAGGTAATGGACACTTGTCCATTTCTTCTAGGGTTTCTTGAATTGTTTCATCAGACTATTACCCAACAGGTCATAGACACCTGTCCAACTCCTCTTGGATATCTACATCCCACCCAACATGCAATGGACACTTGTCTAATTCTTTGGTTTCTTGATTTGCATCATCAAAATACAACCCAACAGGTAATGGACACCTGTTCAACTCCTCTTGGATATCTATATCTCACCCAACAGGTAATGGACATTTGTCCAATTCTTCTTGGGTTTCTTGAATTGTTTCATAAGAATACCACCCAAGAGATAATGGACATTTGTCCAACTCCCTTTGGATATGTACATCCCACCCAACGGGTAATGGACACATTTCCAATTCTTCTTGGGTTTCTTGAATTGTTTCATAAGAATACCACCCAACAGGTAATGGACACTGTCCAATTCTTCTTTGCTATCTTCATCCCTTCAATAGTATATAAATTAAAAGGTATTTGACATTCTTCTTGGGTTACTCAATTTTTTTTTGATAAGAAAGAAAACCCAATAGGTATTGGACATTGGTTTAACTCCTCTTGGATATTACATCCCAACATTAGAATTAAACCCAACATGTAACGTTCACTTGTTCAATTCTTCTTGGGATACTTATACCCTGCATTAAAATTCTCAAATTTGTATTGGATATTTATACTCTTGCATTAGATTACCAATAAGTATGACACTTACCTTCCCCAGTTAAATTCAAATTTATCTGCAAAAGCATTCATAAGTCCAAAACATATCTAATACTTTAATTCTATCATTCCACATCTCATTCAGTATACACTTTACAAATGATAGGAAATATATAAGCATTTTGAGCCTAAACTATTTGGCTTTTAAAGAATTTTATAACCATGTTTGCAAAATTTAAAATCAAATATTGGAACTTGGAGCAAGTCATTACAGGTAGAGCAAGATGCTGAAAACCATATTGATAAATAGATCACACCCTAGATAAAATATTTGCCTTCAGTTGCTAAGATTGCGTTGTACTATATGGGAAATTTCTATGATCCTGTTTATTACAGATATATGTACAATGCATATTTTCCCTGTTATAATAAAATTACTTCTGAGATGTAAAAGAATGGATTTAAAAGTCACCGATGTTAAAAGATATTACATGTATCTCAGTAATCTGGTTTGGAAATCACAAACTTAGTTTTGTAGCCGATAAAACAGTGTCGCACCAGAAAACTCAGTTACAAGTACAATGAATGAATTCGTTGTATCAAAACTTTAAAATACTTGATGCACTATGTCCATATCTTTTCGACAAATCGGGATAAAGATATTAAATCAAATCATCACTGTTATCAGTCTAAAGGCAAGAGAAAAGTCATTACATGCCCAAATTTTATATTTGAATAAATGTCAAAATGGTATTATTTTTGTTTTTCTTCCACACTTTCTTCTTCAGGGTCTCTCATGGCCTATACTGTATGATACCTCCATTGACCCTGCTCTTTTATATTGCCATACGTTTATCCAGTAGCAGTGGTTATGCTCAGGCAATCTTTGAAATATTCCTCATTTCATGCATCTCCTTCACATCTGCCTCTGTCCTTTTTATTCATTCTGCAATTAGATAAAGGCATCTGTTTGCCGTATAAATCATGTTTTTCTTGACTACAGTAAGATCAATCTTTATGTTGATCAAACCCAACCAAGAAGTAGAAGTATTTTTCTTATTCAGAAATATGTATTGATAAATAAAATGGAAGAAAAACTAAATTCTATCAACTCTTTTTTGTTTCTTCTATGTCTAACTGCGTCTTCATCCTACCCCCATCTGCCATAATTTTATCAAAATGGAATCATCATTTAACACACAAAACGACGGTGCATATTAATTAGACAGTTTGTTAGTTTCTAATTGTTAAGAAGGAGATCTTAAAAAGATTTAATTTTACACCTATATCTTGCAAATTTTAGACTTCTAATGTAACACTATCAGTACATTAGGGGTACATAATCTTCAAAAACATCTCTACACTTAATGATAAAGATTTCACATTAGTTTTGTTTTTAGCCCAATGGTTCTGCTTAAGAGGATTTAAAATTGACCCAAACTTTACTAACTGCTTTGAAATTATCTTGACAGGGACAGAGACACACTTGACACCCCCTTCCTTTGGGAGCTTTGCAGAACATTTAATAAAAATTTACTTAGCTGGATAGAAATTGAAAATATAACAAATTACAGTCAAACAGAATTTGAATAACTTTCACCACATCAGACATGAAGTATGATCCTTACATAAAATACATCTACAAGATTAAGCTATTTTATTCCTTTGAAGTGATATCTAGTACTGTTTCTTTTCCTGTATGCAACCTCTATCAGAACAAAATGTTAGACACGTATTAACATAACCTATGACCGAATAGTACAACGGTATTTACTTTACAATTAATTTAGTTCTGGCACCAACCCTCAGATGCCCTTAAAACAAATGATTCAAAACTGGCAAAGGTAAAGGGCATCTGAAGAATATAAAATGAAATGATAGTACAAACAAGCAAACAGTTTGCATGAAAATGTTGGCAAACACTAGAAAAAAAAATAAGGTACTTTCTCAAACTCAACATGAATACAAAAGAGGTTTTATGTAGCTGTATTGCACAAATCAAAAGCTTTCCTGCAGTTTAAGGTTGGTTGCCTAGTAGTTATGTAGTATGTACAAGTTTTTCCCTCCATTTCTTCTAATTTAAGAAGCGAAAATGTCTCTAAAAATCTTATGGTTTGCATGAAGTATTCCTGATTATTTTACTGATTATTTACAATTGTCCTATTTCTGAGGGTCTTCTTCTGCAGATTGTGTTCTTTGCAATGTTCACATTTAAAGTGCCTGTTTGACTTGTTACATATTGAAAATCCTCAATGAACATGATTATGGTTTTAATTTCCATTGCAATTATTGATTACTTTTAGAAAAAAAAAATCTAAACCAATTTATTGTAGCATAATATTTAGGAAAATATTAATGAAATATCAATGGAAAAAAGGAATCATTATCTCCAGTTAACCTAAAAATCACAAGTAAGCATTAATCATATAAATTCACATACGTAAACCCACTAGCTTTTTGTGCTATTAAATCATAGTCATCGCTGTGCAATTAAGGAAATCAAGTACTAATCCACAGCTTGGGGCAATAAAGTAACTATCCCCGAGTAAAAAGTGACAAGCCCAAATAAAGAGGCAAAAATTAAAAAGTAACATTAAAAAAAAGTTCATCGTGAAAAAATCAGGGTATTAACTACAGATGATTCTTTTTAAAAGTAAAGTTTAATTTAATTTTCGCTTGAAAAATTTAATTATATATAAATTAATGATTTAAAAAAAAAGAAAAAAGATTATAAATATTCGTTTTCTGGTCAATCACTAGTTCGTCTAATTAAAATGAAGCAAAAATCATTTTGTTTTCATCTTGAATCATTTAAAGTCATATATGGCGTATGTACAATGAAAATTATGAGACTGAAATTATAAAAAGTTATTATTTGTATCATTAATTTACATAAACATAATAAAGATAGAACTTTTCCGTAAATTACAAAATCTAAGTCAATTGCGCTATAAAGATACCACAATTTAAATTGGGTTCTCGGAATTTCCTCCGACTCGGAAGAAAATACAATAGATTTAAATAACACATTACGGAGAAGATAAAATTGCATTATTAGATGAAACGAGGTGTTCTCCGTGCTCCGAATGGTATGAAAAGCTTTAAATTTAAATGTATTTACTATATTTCTTTACTGAATATTGTATTTTTTTTGAAATATTATTCTGATCAGTTACGCCATATATGGCTTTAAATAAAAAAAAAACGCAACATAATTGCATGACACTTATCATTCAGCTGATCGAGTGAATGTATATAATTTAATAATGAGATATCTGTGAGGAATACATGTACATGCAAATATTGCTATATTAAACAAAGGAAAGGGGAAATTCAAATTAGGAAAAAAAGATCGTTTTTAAGTAATTCAGTCTGGTAGTACTGAAAAATGGATGCAGTTGTGGAGATTTATAGATAATAGGAGCATGCTGTCTGGAATATTTCCATATAGGGAATTCAATAGCAAAAAGGAGTGAAAATACTGGTGGTGCTTTTCATGTATTACATTTGAATTTAAAATTCCTAATAGCTCAAAAATGGAAGCCCCGGGTGTAGCGCGATGCTTATTGCACTTCCATCATGTGAAATAGTTATAGTAGCCCTATATCAATTTCAGTATTGTTTTAAATTAATTAAAACAAATCTCAAAAACAATAATTAAAAAAATCAAAATAAAGCAGACACTCAAAATCAAAGACAGAAAGAAGCACTGTTTTGACTGAACGTTTTTCATTAATACAATGAATCTCTTACATATCAGATGAGATAAACTTACATGTACATACAATTATTTAGTTGTTGTCAATTATCCCATTTATCATCATCTCAGCTCACTTTGCGATTGTAATACTGTCTACATGAACCGATAATTTACAGCTAATTGTTGAACACACGATTGTTAAAATTTTCATTTCCCTTTCCAATATACATTGTCAAAACATACTTAGTTGGATATGATATAAAATTAAGTAATTAACACTTTCGATTTATTAAAGATTATCTAACAATATACGACCATTTACTAAATACTTCTCGCCCTCAAGAGAGTTAAAAAGACAGAGAAAATTCAAAATACATACAAGTGCAACTTAGGATTAATTGTTCCGATATATATATATTTCAATTTTGTGCACAATTGTTCTCAAAATTACATTAGAGTCAATTTTCCTTAAACAAGAACCCAGCAATAGATAAATATTAATCGAATAAACTTACCTTTTCTCTTGTCAATCACACAATCTTGTTGACATTAAATGTTTCGTAGTCGCCATATTTTTTTTCCATGAAAACAAAAGTTGATTTTCGGAACTCTCGAGAATTTAGAGTTCCGAATGTAAAACTGAAACACAAAACACGGTGCGTCCGTGAAAGCAACTTTTTTGGACAAATCATCGTGACCAAGTTTTGTTGGGTACTAACCTGCAAATACCCAATTAGGGTGTTTTAAGCATATTCAGCGACACTTCCTATTGGGTATACCCAATAAGCAAAAAGTACCCAATAAGTACAATCTTGGCATGAAAAATACCCAATTAATGTACTCTCGTAAACACGGACGGACAGACGGACGGACGGACATGAGTAACAACGATATACCCGAACTTTCTTTAGAAAGTGTGGGTATAATTAATATTACTATATATCATAGAAAACCCATGTCCTAGAGAGTCTTGGTGCAAAAAAATTCCAACCTCTGAAAAAAGGCCTTATGAGAAGCTAAGTGTACCTTGTTCTTACTATTACAACAACTTATTTGTTCTTACCTTTTGAGTCCCAGAAAACATTCCATTTAGAAATGATTGAATCTGAAACAAAAGTAGGTAAGACTGTCTTTAATAGAATCAATTAACGTAATTTTTTTTTAAAATTACTTTATTTATATTTTAATTTCATTTAGAGCTAATTGCTTATAAATATTATAATGAAAACGGTATGCTGCAAAAAGTCCCCGAGAAAAGAGTTTGTTATTTATTTTTATCAACCGAGAAACACCTTGGGGTCTTGACTAAGGCAAAGAGACATGAATTTCAATAGAGTACTAAGTATTTTCAATCATTATGTCAGTAGTCTGCTTTTTTGATATCAACGCTTAGAAATATAAATTAACATGTCAGAATAGTATTGTATTGGAGAATATGATATTATATCACACAGTTATGGGATGGGTACGATGGACATAGCAAGTTCATGGTTTCCCGAGAGAGGAAACTATTTCCCAAGGCAGCGAAGCCAAAAAGTTTCCTACCGAGGGACACCACTAATTTGCTTTTTCCCTAGTTCTCATTCCATACATGTACATGTAACTTTTTTTTATACCGAAACAATCATAGGCGAAATCTTTTTACCAGATATTCCGACATTTAAAAAAAACATTATAGAGGCATAATAAAAATTGCATGTGGTTTAAAAGAGCAAGAGCATGCTCTACGTATGAACAATTTCTTAAACGAGGTAAATTATTGACAAGCAAATTGATAAAACAAGAATATCAACAGTCTCGTTAATAGTCATCATTTCGTAAATTCTATGGTCGATACAATGACCTTGTCAGCAAATTCAATTTATCATTGAATGAAATGCTGACTGACGTTTTTCATACCAATTGTTAGTCCATTATTTATACACTGAATTGACCACGAATTTTTTCCGTTATTTCCTGATTATGACAACGAGCACACGGCGGGTGTGGCCGGTCGGCAGGGGATGCTCACTCCTCCATGGCACCTGATCCCACCTCTGATGTTTCGGAGGTCCGTGTTTGCTCTGCTCTTATTTTGTATATTTGTTTAATGGACGTTGAGATTGAATACTGTTCGTTATTTCCATACCCTTCATTGTATGATAATTAATGGATCGCGTTCCTGAACATAAAAATCATTTTTAACAAGAGGCCCATGGGCAACATCGCTCACCTGAGAAGCTTTGACCATTCTGTTCTTTACCAGATTTCACCCTTGTTATACATAATGCATCCCCACCCTACCCCACTGATCATAATTTAGACATTTTGAAATCTACACTACCCCATGATCCTTCCATGGGCACATATATTTCAGCTTTTTTGGCCCAGTGGTTCCTGAAAGAAGATTTTCAAAGATTTTTCCTACATATTTCTATGTAAAACTTTGATTCCCTATAATGGCCTCGCCCTTCCCCCAAGGGTCATGATTTCTACAATTTAGAATTAACACTACCCCAGAATGCTTCCACGTCAGCTTCACTTTTTCTGGCCAAGTGGTTCTTGAGAAGAAAATTTTCAAAGATTTTTCCTATATATTTCTATAAAACTTTGATTCCCAATTGTGGCCCCGCCCTTCCCCCGGGTGTCATTATTTGAACAATTTAGAATCTACATTATACCAGGATGCTTCCACATAAGTTTCAGCTTTTCTGGCCCAGTGGTTCTTGAGAAGAAGATTTTCAAAGATTTTTCCTATATATTTCTATATAAAACTTTGATTCCCCATTGTGGCCCCACCCATCCCGCGGGGGTCATTATTTGTACAATTTAGAATCTACATTATACCAGGATGCTTCCACATAAGTTTCAGCTTTTCTGGCCCAGTGGTTCTTGAGAAGAAGATTTTCAAAGATATTTCCTATATATTTCTATGTAAAACTTTGATTCCCCATTGTGGCCCCGCCCTTCCCCCGGGGGTCATGATTTGAACAATTTAGATTCTACACTATACCAAGATGCTTCTATATAAGTTTCAGTTTTTCTGGCCCAGTGGTTCTTGAGAAGAAGATTTTCAAAGATTTTTCCTATATATTTCTATATAAAACTTTGATTCCCCATTGTGGCCCGGCCCTTCCCCCGGGGGTCATGATTTGAACAATTTTGATTCTACACTATACCAGGATGTTTCCATATAAGTTTCAGCTTTTCTGGCCCAGTGGTTCTTGAGAAGAAGATTTTCAAAGATATTTCATATATATTTCTATATAAAACTTTGATTCCCCATTGTGGCCCGGCCCTTCCCCCGGGGGTCATGATTTGAACAATTTAGATTCTACACTATACCAGGATGCTTCCATATAAGTTTCAGCTTTTCTGGCCCAGTGGTTCTTGAGAAAAAGATTTTCAAAGATTTTTCCTATATATTTCTATGTAAAAATTTGATTCCCCATTGTGGCCCCGCCCTTACCCCGGGGGTCATTATTTTAACAATTTAATATCTACACTACCCTAGGATGCTTTCACATAAGTTTCAGCTTTTCTGGCCCAGTGGTTCTTAAGAAGAAGATTTTTTAATGACCCCAGCCTATTTTTGTCTTTTCATGATTATCTCCCCTTGCGAGGGGATATGTCCCTTCATTTTAACAATTTAAATTCCCCTTTACCCAAGGATGCTTTGTACCAAGTTTGGTCAAAATTGGCCCAGTGGTTCTTGAGAAGAAGTCGAAAATGTGAAAAGTTTACAGACGGACGGACAGACGGACGGACAGACGGACGGACGACGGACAAAATGTGATCAGAAAAGCTCACTTGAGCCTTCGGCTCAGGTGAGCTAAAAAGTATTTCCACAGACATTTCGAAAAATTATCGTCGTCTTTATTTTGCTAGAACTCAAGATATGATATTGATATTGCATGCCAAAATTTTTTTGACGTCATATTTACATTACGTCACAGAATCGATATCGATATTCCTCGAACACACCGCCCACTGAAGGCTTTGACTGGTCAAAATTACTTATAAATATTCATAAGGGAGTAGTTCCAGGGAGAAGCTTATTTTTCAGGGAGTAGTCCTCAGATGAGGGAAATAGTCTCTTCTTGGAGAATTAGGCAGTTTTATGGAATTAAATCTATATAGAGTAATAACAGTAAATATAGAATAATATAGCATAGTATAGAAAACTTTACAATTATATTGTATTAAACACATTTGCTTACGTCATGCATCGTTATATCAAATCCAGATTGCGATTTCTGTATTGCTTCGTCAATGGCCATAATGTGAACAACGGAGTTGCGAGATGGTCTATGTGATCGCAGAGTAAACCGTATTTTTTCTCCTGGTATATATGTTCCTCCTTTGTCTTTAGAAATACTAAACTATTGCAATAAAATGGGTAAAAGATATTTTACTTAAGTAAAATGAGAAAAAACAAATAATATAGGGAAAACAGAATTATTAATCTTCAGTTATATATGTATCATCGTAGTTTTCATTGCAAAAAAAATACTGCATGTATTAGGTACATTTATATACCATACCATTTCACTTTTTTAAATTCAAGAAAAAAGTAAATAAGAAATAAAATAAACAAAGAGGTTCTGAAATGTGACAGACATTTATATTTACTTATTTATTCCAATTTCCGTTTTTCAATTCAATTATTTCATTGTTTTTTGCTTTTGCATTCATATGTTATTTATTATTTTTTTTAATCCATGGTCATGGCATTAAAATTGTCTTATTTTCCTTTACATAAAATTTCTTAAAAAAGCACCATATTGTGAAAATTGTCTGTTAAGATATTAAGTTGAAAAAAGGGCAAAACAACATGGAAGGTATGTATAAGAAATTTATTTTAACGTAGAACCTACGTCGTATGACATCATAACTAGTGAATGTGTTTAGCCTGTGCTAGATCCATTATGACGTCATAATTGATTCAATGTCATTTCCCGTACTTTACAGCTTCAGTATAGAAATAGAAGAAAATACTGCATTTTGAAATTCACAGAATTCAATTTAAAATCATGCCGAAATAATCTTCATAATATTCAATATATATATATATATATATATTAATATAATGCTTAATTACAGTATATTTCTTGAATTAAAGAAACCTGTAGGAAGCTTTTAATTAATAGATCTTGACCTTAATTAAGTTGACAAATCCAAGACTATATTGTGTGATGAAATTGCCATGTATACAACAAACTGTAATAATGTAAATGGTATGTAACTATTTTGAAGGAATGCACAATCTTTTTTAAAAATCGTCAGTTGCCAACTAAATAGTGTAATATCTTGATGAAATGTGTCTAAGTCAAAGATGTATGTGTTGTAGATTGTGTGTACATTTTGTGATATCTAATGAAATGATGTGCATTCCTTTTCATAATTATTTGTTACTTATTCATATTCTTGGAGTTTTATTACAATTTCTCTATTGAATATGATCTTTTAAATTAAAAATATAATTTTTATAAACATTTTTAAGCTGAAAGTAGCCCCGAACAGTCATTTAATGATAAAATCCGTGTAAGTGCAAAAAGGTCAAGAATATTAGTATCGGTAAATAACCTATTTCTCATTAGTTAGAGGGGAAAAGTATATATTTTAATCACTTTTTGTAATCATTTTGGTATGTTCTTTATCATATTAAAGATAGAAAACATTGTGACAAAGACTTCTGATATATATTTACAAATGTAGGGTGGAAGATTGACTGAAAATAAATAGAGTTCATTTGCCTATAGTTTTGAAAATTTGGACTTATCTTTTATGTCAATTGAATAAAAAAGATTTTTTTCTAGGGAAATATTGTTTAATACTGTTCAATTAATAAACAATAAAAACAACGATGTTTAAAGAAGCAATTCTGGGATTTTGTTGTCTTCTTTGCATGACAAGTACCCCTAAAATTACTGAAATTGTGAAGTCGCAATATGTATTTATCATTCCATGTTTAACTGACTGCACTACATTTAATAACAAGGAAACATGTCATATACTTTTAACTGATTGATAAGCAAGTGCTAATTTATCATTATGAAAAGTTAGAAAATCTTGTGACAAAGACTTCTCCGACATAGGTTCTACCTTAAAGCCGCTTCATCCGAAACAGGCACATAATATCTTTATCAATAAAAGTATGTCATTACATAGATAATATATAAAAATTAATTATAAGATTGATTTAATAGTTTATTACAACAATCCTTGCATAGAAAACATATACCAATAACCTTGTTGATAAACAGCAGTTCCTGACGGGAAGTTAAGATCTTTTTTGAAGTCATCTTTGAAAAAAATACCTTTATCGGATATATTTAATTATGAAGAGATTTCAAACCCGAGTATTTTTTTCAATTAGTAGAATCCTAAGTCATGAACTATCTTTTAAAAAATAAGGAATTAATTGAATAAAATCCATAGTAATTTTTATATTAATGTGCATATTTACAGAATAAAGGAAAAAGTGGGTTTAGTTACGAGGGCTAGAATATTGCCTGTATACACTTTGTTAAGGAAAAAATGCTCGGGTTTGTTCTTCACGAGTTATACATGTAAGCGATAAATTTAATTTTTCGAAGATGACTTCACGCAATGTCAACAAATGTCAACAAAGGATTATTTATTGTGTGACCTAACAAAAATTATTTTTTTAACTTTTGAATTTTGATATCTTTAAAAAGAAAAAGACTTTGGGGATATAATTTGACCAAAGTTGAAATAATTTATGGACAATTATTTTTCAAGAAGAAAAACAAATATATTTTTTTAGCAATTACAATCGGACCAAGCGGCTTTAAGAAAATAAGGTTAAACAAGAAACTCAACGTTAAACAAACTAAAAATACTTACAAATTTCTTTGTTGGGTTTCCTCGTACTTTTATATGCACAGAATCGCTCATGACCACCCCGTCAGATTTAACATAATAAAATAAAAGTTCAAAAGTAGGATAAAAGTTAGGTTCAACCATCAAAGAGCAGGTAAATCTGGATCTAAATCTTGAGCCATCACTGCATTTACCACCACTTATTTCACTTCCTCTGGAAGTTATCTAAAACACATCAGTTATCTATGTAAAATTGCGATTCTATTAATTTTTTTTCAATATTTCTCATTTACAAGTATATAGATTGCCTCATAATTGTGGGATATTTTAAAAACTGAAAGTGACACTTAAAGACAAATATTTATAGGTTATGCACATATACTTACGGAGTACCAAATAGGTCCTTTTACTGATGATTTGGTAATAATTTGAAATTTTAAAGAAGATCCAACCTAGAATATGTAATATATATCAGATATAGTGCGCCGTTTTTAAAAGTAATTCAAATTAATCTCTAATTTCTGTGAAGTATCTTTACCACCCTCCCCCTTTTTACAAAGAAAGTCAGAAATAATCATAAACGAAGGTACATGTATTTAATAAAAATTGCAGTTTTAATTGAAACAGGTTTTACAATTACACTTTCACAAAAGTTCATATAAACTCTAACTGGCAATGGTTACCAAAGTAAAAATCTATATGATATATATAGGTTTTCATTAAAATGCCATTTTATCTTAAAATATGCATAATTGATTTTGTAAAATTGATCTAACCGTGCCAAGATAATGTTCAGGTAGAATTCCAAGCCCAGGTCTTGTGGCTTGGGAAAGGGTCTCCTCATGTTTGTCCGATTGGTGATGTGTCTATCAAAGGAAAAAAAGCCAAATCTTTATTTCAATAAGCACTACACTTAACAAAAAATACAAAAGTAAACTATAGTCAAATACCAAAGTTACGATGTTTTTACTATAGTTAATCAAACTTTCAAGTTTTTCACTATGGTAAATCATAGTTCCATATATTTTTCCTATAGTTAAGCAAAGTTTGAAGTATTTACTATTGTAAATGAGTTTTCACTATAGAAAAATAAAATTCCAAAGTACTGACTATATTAAATGTTAGTTCCAAAGTTTTCACTATAAAAATAAAACAAAGATTCAGAGTTGTCACGGTAGAAAAAGTTCCAATACTTTTACGTGTAAAATCTATAGTATTTCTTATAAAAAAAACCGCCGATATTAAATATAATGTAAAAGTCATACAAAAATTAAGTCAAGGAATGTTCAATTTGACTTCTAAACACAAGTATCTAAAAAACTGTTATCATCGTAAGATCAATGGTCCTCTTCCATTCTGGCGTGGTTAAGTAAGAGGAGTAGACCAATGCGGAGAAGCTTGTAAACTGTGACGCGACTTCTTTTTTGCATTGCAAAAAACCTTTCATTTGAGTCTTCTTTACATTTTCATCGGGAATTTTTCGAATGAAAACTAAGACATAAATTAAAACTTTCGACAATTAAAAGGGATGATCTTCTCTTTTTAACTGTTGAATATTTTTTAATTGATATACATTTGTGTATCTCATAATATATTATTCAAATAATGTTGTACGAAATTTAAATGTACTTACCATGAATTTTAACTCCGTTACATCATTATCAATATTTAAAGTGAGTTTTCCGAAACCATGGCTATCAACATAGACATATTTCGTTTTCATTTCAGAAGAAATATCAACATATTTATACACGCCAAAACACGTCTTTAACGCTTTCTTAGTCAATTTGATTGAGACAAGCATTCGGTAACTCTTCAAATTTTGAAATTTCAACTGAAACGTAAAAAAGATTAACAGTGAATATATTTTTATGTACATATATTCTATTCTATAAAAGATTTTAAAAATAACATTCCTTAAAAGATTTCACAAAATATTAAAAAGAAATAAAATATTATGTAATTTTAATAAAATAACTTAAATATATTTTTATAATTGATTGGCCGAAAGATAATGTCAACAAGATAGCATTTTAGTTTCGTTTAAAGAACAAAACTATAAGTTAGATAGTATATATTATACAATTTTTGCTGTTTTTGAGGTCAATAGAATGATTTAGCCATCTGAGGAGTACAATATTCACTGAGCCAGAAACGCAATAATTGTTTTATTATATGTTTCACTGATAAAATGATACAGGTCATTACTTGTTTGGATTTAAATAAGTCCTAGCCAAATACAAGAGAGAAGCAGAATTAGTTTGTAAATAAACCTTACCAGTCGTATAAATTTTAAGGAGGCTGGAGGGTCAACAAATTAATCCCAAATTAACCACCAGATTTAACTTATTTTTTAAGATACAGTATCTTTAGCTGTTAACTATCATTTAAAATTTGATCAATTTCTATATCTTTATATGGAGCTCTCCTTTTAAAGGAGATTGAAATAGTCTAAAAATGGCTGCCATCCCCGAGCCTCGTTAAGTTTTTTTTTTATCAATTTTAGTTGCCATGAAAAAAAATATTTAACGTCAGTCTTTTTATTGGATAGCGTTTGAAAGGAAGGAGTGCTATCAGCGAAAACTGACTGCCAAAAAGTAAAGATTGTTGTTCAGTAAAAGTGTTGGAGGGGGACTCTGCATCCCTTCTTACCACACTCACCCAGAAATATAAATTCGATTATGCTTTGTTCACATGAAAAAAGTGAAAGTCGTTTAAATAGCTTTTAAAAACGATTTGCATCATTTTGGAATTTCCCGATCTATTTCTAGATAAATGTAGAGGAAATAATTCCTTGTATTGACCTGGAACGTCACGTGCAGGTCAATACAACTTAGAATTTTTCTTACATAGTTGGATATCAGCCAATCAGAGAAATGGAAATTATTCAATCATGTAATAAAACATATTATCCAATTATAAAAGTATATTGCTTGAAACTCACGAATGTAACAAATTTCAGTCCTGGTTGGAAATGTTTTCTAATCGGTTCCAAAGACCATATCATTTTTGCATCTCGTCTTAAGTTTATGACTGCTGAATTAACGACAGTCGTGCCAGTAGAGGGGTCGCTTACTCGAGCTATTACTTCGATATCGTTTTCGAAAATAAAGCTTGTATTTTTCGTCGTCGTTATCCAAAACTCTCCTCTTATCTGAAAAAGAAACTTACATAGTAAACTGTAAGGGAAACTTCATTTAATGATCAACATTTTATTTTGCTTTACTTACATTATCATGATGATTGTATAAAAACTTATCACCGTCTCTCGTCTTTGTTACAAGCTGGGCATGAACTACACCATTTACTTTTCTACCAAACATATACCTACAGAATTTTCAAATTCATGTACAGTAACATTTTGAACAATAAATTTCCGCCAAATATCGAACTTTTTAAATAAAAAAATTTTCTGCAAGAAATGTCATTTTAGAAATAAACTTGAGCTGGTATTTTTCCTAATTTATTTTTGTTTTTTATGGTTTAAAAGATTATTTATTGGACCATATCGATAGTATCCTTAAAACTCTTACCTAGCTTTAACAAGGCATCGCAGTCTCCTTGTAGATCTTGTGAAAAACGTAGGGCATGATATATCAACTTTGTACTTTGGAACAACTGTTTCAAACAAGAATACATTTGCTTAATTTGATGCTTGTGAATTAACCTAGGTATACATGTATACTAAAATTTGATTCGTTTTATAAAAGTTACAGAAAAAATACTACAAAACTACCTACCATATTTTCGAACTATGAATGTTTTTTCTGTTTTCCTTTTCTAAATGCACGAAGACAATTCATTAGAAAGATTTAAAAGGAAATATATAAATTTAAGATACGACGAATGAAATTTGAAGGAGTTATAAGTATGTGCATATATTATCGATCAAGGAGTCATACCGTATCGTCGACAACAATACGCCACTGCCCATTGTTGGGATCACCCGGAATGGAAAATTTTCTGGAAAATACACCTAGTACTCCTCGCACATTTAACCATTGCTGCACCAGTTTATTTTTACCATCCTACATAGTTAAAGATAATAATTCCACTGACGAAAATGGGGTTCTCGTAAAAATGGATAATTGGATTTTCTATTTTGTTTATAAAATATGTACAAATTAACTTAAAACTATCTTCGATCATTACCTACACTGCTTTGTACGGAAGCGGGTTGCTGCCAAGTAAAAAAAAATGGCGGACGCAAGATAATTTTATGGCGTTCGCCAGATTAGGTATTTTTTTTTTACACCTACCGGATTTCATAGTTTTAGCAAGGATAGGAAGAGGATAAAATGCAGTGAAAAGTGATAATCAGACTCTTGGAAAGGAAGAAAAAAGTATAGTATAAACGTCATATCAATTCATCCCAATATCCTTTCCAAAACCATAAATGCGTATTGTCTTTTGCAAATTTGGAAATGAGAAAAAATTATTTAAAAATCTAAAATACAACATATTCACATGGGAGGCGGGGTATCATTTAGTGAGCTCATTGGTCACAATACCTCTAGCTGAATCAAGTAAAAATGTTTTGTTTTAAAGAAACTATCAATTCAGCAAAGACATTTTCAGCATTTTTTAATTTTTTGATCAAACGAATGCTTAAAGTCTCTAAATGTGTTCTGGAAAAGTGTGACATGATTTGAATATGCTCATCAAAACTGTAACACAAAGATGTTATAAAAATGTCTTCAAAATAGTTTCAGGTAATATAAAGTGTATTGATATAATGTTTATGATCTTAAAGCTATATATGCCGTATTAGTGTTTTATTTTAAAAGTAATAAATATATGTGGTGTCTCATCAAGTTATATAAGTTATATACTTTCTGCAAATAAGACAATTCCCCTCCATCACTTTTAAAAGTTATGAAATATTATTTGGTAAAAATTATTTTCTCTCCGTGTCGGATAAAAAACCGCCTCTTATTGAAATATTCATGATCACGTTGTCTCGCATGTTTACAGCAAACAATGGTCCAATCTCGTGAATGAACCGAAAAGCATGATGGTCTACTACGATTTTACTACAAACACGTGAGTTAGGGATTGTCAATATTGAGAGCACCTCAGAGTTGGTTACTTTTTGTACCGAGGAATAATCACGTGCAATTGTCTTTTCAATGGACATAACTTCTACAGATGTCAGCGACTATGGATAAAGAAGTGTGGAAACCATGTTGTGCCAAAATGAAATAACTAATACAAACAAATGATATAATTTGATCAATCAAAATGGTTATTAGATACATTCGATTCTGCATTTCTTAATGGTTCAAAACAACAAAAAGTATTCCACAGAATATCATGTATAAATCTGCACAATATACCGAATGCCAAAACCAGAATACTACTAAATAATATAAGTATATTCTTTACATATGAACCACAGTATTTCTGACCCCTTGAAAAAATATAAAAAAATCTTGCAAGTAGGTTATCAGCATTGGCTCGGGCTAATTCGAAAGTGAAATTTGAAGTTTGGCAGTAAATTGTATTGAATGAATAAAAATTAGTCATGTTTAGTAGTGAAATATATTGGAACCTTTTTTACTTGTCAGATTTCTTCGAGCTAGTTGATTTTTATTCTTTCTAACTGTTCTATCCCCCCCCACCCCTCGGATGAGACCGTATAAACCGAGGCCCCGTGCCGCAGTAGGTGCTGGCACGAAAAAGATCCATCCCTGATCAATGGCCCTGAGTGCCGAGTATAGGACAAAATTTGCAGCTCTCCACAGGCAAATGGTGCCGTCTCCATATGAGTAAAAAATTCTCGAGAAGGACATTAAACAATCAATCAATCAATATATTCCCCCACCCACTTAAAAAACCCGATGCTACCTACCTGAATTATTTTTTCTTAAAGGTGTTAATCGAAATGCTTGGTTGTGCCCTCAATCTGGAATAGTTTTTAGAGGCCTGGAATTCCTTGATCAATTTTATTTTATTAGCCCAACTATATTTCTAAGAAGGCAAGATGTATGGTATGTAAGTTTCATCTACATATGTTATGTAGTTCATATTAAAAAAAAACAAAAGGGATTATTGACGATATCCCATTCAGGGTGTAAACATAGCAGTTTAAATTACTTTCCATACATTTACATTGTACTTGACATAAAATATTTTTTGTGCATAATGCGCTCCATACTGAAGATCCGTAAATGTTCACCCAACCGAAAATGTCCACTAGCAGTACAGCACGGGGAAACTCTAAACAAACGGACCTGTACAATGGAATCGGGAAAACTTTATTTTTCATCATTGTTAATCATTTGTATGCAAATATGAGCATGGGATTAGTAGATAATTATGTACATAATGCATCAAGTCTTTCTGAGAGCGATTTAAAAAACTAGCCTTTTTGAAAAACACATGTAGTATTTTATGTAGTAACCCATAAATGCATTAAATGCAACTCATTGAGCTGATTGGTCTATTTGTGTCCCTCACTGAACAGACGTCACAAAAAATATTTTCCTCGACCTGATGATTCTCGCGATGCTTTTCCCGCGCACATGCGCAGATCCAGGATAAACGTCAATCCTTTATAAATATGCATGAGAATATCATGTTCTTTTCCTGACCAGTACTTTGTTAATACCGAATAAAATTTTGTCGAATTCGCAAGAATGCTTCATTTTTGGTAGCTTATCATACTCCAGAAATTTTTGTTCGGTTTCAGCTGTGCAAAAATACTGTTTAACACGGCATACATATCTTTAAGTATCAGGATTTCTGCCATTTTGATTAATGTAAATACCTTAAGATTTGAAAAACAAAACTTATACTTACATAGATGGCTACACTAATCTGTGTTTTTAATGGTTTCAAACTTTGAGTCAGCGTTACAATTCTCATTTTCACTTATGAACAAAAAGATATACATAGTTAAATTCAATGAAATGCGTAAAGTCTTTGAAAGTGAAATTTCATGAACAAACATATATATACCTTCTTCATTTTTGGCATACATTCCACGGTCGGTTTGTATCAAAACGACACTCTTCAGGTCATCATATTGAATAGGTGACACAATTGAATCTCCACTGTATGATAGTTTGACCCTTAAGTTCTTCGAAGATGTCAAATCAGGCGGTACCTAAATATGTAAATAGACTGCAGTTATATGTACATGTATAGTATATTATTATGTTCACAAGATTTATGTAATCTTCATGTATAATGAATTATAATGCTTAGAAGATAAACGTATTTGTGATGTACAGAGATAAACGTATTCGTGATGTACAGTCGTTTGACCAGTTCCGGATTTTGGCCAGTTCCGAATAATAAGTAATGTAAGAATTGATAATTAATAAATTCAACGGTGTAAAAATAATTTGTTTCTATGGTAAGAAGGCTTATTTATTAGTGTTTGAATTATGCAAAGTTTTGATTTTTTGCCCTCGGTTTGGTTTCGTTATCGTACTCGAAACAGTCGACATACTTTTACAACGCAACAAACGTGAATCACAACTACGCGTAAGTCTGCTGAAAAACCTCTGTAGATTTATAAATTTTTAACATAAAACCGCATTCCAGGTATCAAAAGTAAGTTTGAAATGTACTCTAACATATACTAAAAACTTGTCAATAATAAATATTTAGGACACTGGAAGATATCTAAATATTTTCGTTTTCTTATTTTACCAGTTCCGAAAACCCATTTTAAACACTATAATCATAAATTCACTCTTCTTTGTTTTCTTCAATGTAAACCTGATTAATTATACCCCTGCTTGAAAAACAGTAAGAAGGGGTACATTGTATATAATAATGGGATGTTTGTCCATCCATTCGTCTTTATGTCCGTCCGTGCGTCAAGCTGTGCGTCCGTCCGTCTGATATGCTCTAGGGTATCCATTTCTTATCCGCAACCCCTCTTCTACCACTGAATGAAGTTTAATGATGCTTCACAGAATTTAATGAGTCTTTCAAAGAATTTGTGTTTAACAGTGCCAAAGTAAAACTATTTTATTTTTGGATCAGGCACATAACTTGGGCTCCCTGAGAAAAACTTAGATACTGCTATTCTTTGTAATATTGAAAGATGGATATGGAAATAACGAACAGTATTCAATCTCAACGTCCATTAAACAAATATACAAAATAAGAGCAGAGCAAACACGGACCTCTGAAACATCAGAGGTGGGATCAGGTGCCATGGAGGAGTGAGCATCCCCTGTCGACCGGTCACACCCGCCGTGTGCTCGTTGTCATAATCAGGAAATAACGGAAAAAATCCGTGGTCAATTCAGTGTATAAATAATGGACTAACAATTGGTATGAAAAACGTCAGTCAGCATTTCATTCAATGATAAATTGTATTTGCTGGCAAGATCATTTTATAGACCATAAAACTTACGAAATGATGACTTTAATTGACACTGTAGATATTCTTGTTTCATCAACTTGTTTGTCAAAATCTAACATCGTTTAAGAAATTGTACATACGCAGAGCATGCTCTTGCGTATCGAATCAACTGAGATATAAATACTCCGTATGCAGGTGATGAAGGTATATTGCTGCATAAGTAAGGGAAGTTGACGATAGAAAAGTTAAAGTCATCCCGTTTATCATATAGCTTGGTTGTTAGATTACCATTAGTGTCTTTTTCAAGTAAAATATCCAAGTATGAAGCAGAAGTGTCGGACTCTGTGGTATCTTTTATCTCAAGCTCACCAGGATATATCGTGTCGACGTAGGAATGGAAATTATCATTATTAATTGACAATACGTCGTCGATATATCTAAATGTCGAGTTGAAGGCAACAGCAAGTGTTTTCTTCTTATCACGTAAAAGATTTTGCATAAATTGTGCTTCATATGAATATAAAAATAAGTCTGCTAATAACGGAGCGCAATTTGTACCCATGGGTATTCCAATAGATTGTTGGAATACCTGGTCTCCAAAAAGCACGTAGATATTGTCAATCAGAAACTCAAGCATCTTTTTGATGTCAACTTCAGAGTACTTATGTGTGCAATCAGAATCTGTTTTAACAAAATAATTTTTCAAATGACCAATGACGAGGTAAGTAAACTTACGAGTTCCATTTTTGTTGAAGAAGCAGCTGTCAATGATATCAAAAAGCCTGGATTTTAATTTGTCGTGGGGAATTGTTGTGTATAAATGAAAAGTCGTAAGTTTTTATGCTGTTGATTTTTGTATAGTCTTGTGATTTCAAATTGTCCAAAAGTTCTGTAGAATTTTTTAGTATCCACATCTGATTTACATCACTTCTTGAATATATAGTTGTACAGTGCTCTTGAAGTTTGTCCTTCACTACTGTCAATATTTTAGTGATATAAATTCATCTCTAATCCGCAATTCCTCCTATATTTAATGATACTTTCACAGATTCTTGATTACATTGTGATATTATGACCTTTTATTTTACTTTTTGATCTGACACTAATTTTGGTCTCCAAGGGCAAAACATGATATTTGTCTTAAATAATCATAAAGAAGGTGTGGGGTATCATTAAAATGAGCTCAGTGCCCACAGTACCTCTAGTTTCTCTTCAACCTTTGGAAATACAAATAATTTATTGGTAAGCAATTGATTTCACTTTTCTTAAGCATGCCAATGGATAACATCTGGGACGTAATTTTTTTTTATTTTGAATTCAATAAGAATCTCTGGGCTATCCGGAACTCGTTGGCTTATTCGTAACTGGTAAAAATGACAACTATGGTAACTTGCGAAATAATTTTTATTGAAGGCAAGATGAACTTTAATGAAACAATATTTAATTCCACAAGTCATCGAACTACCTTGACAAAACACTTAAATTTTGAATTAATGTCTAGTATATTTATAGCTCAGACGAATCGGTTTCTTATTCGGAACTGGCCAAACGACTGTACACATACGGCAATTTAACATAGTATACATGTATAAAATATGCATATTGGTGCGACATGCAATAATTTACTTACGTTTAGCATGATATTATGCTGCTTTCCTACAAAAAAAATCTTAAAAATTCAGAAAGACTCTTCACTGAGAGAGGAATGTTTGTTGGGTTAAAGGTTAAGGATTCATAGCAGAAAGGTCTGCAAAAATTCTTAAGGATTTACATTGGGTTTTTACAGTGTACCTATGGTGTAGCTGTGATACGTGTACTTATGAAGATGCGTCGGGATTTGTAAATCATTCTGACAAACTGTTTTGAGATTGTTTGAACATTGGGAAACCCAACTGATTATACAGTGTAAACTGTAGCTGATAAAGGTTTTTTTATCGACAAAACAATTTTTGTATTCTGTTCCTCTTCAATAAATGTATATCAAGTTTAAATTGTTTCCTTAAAATCTTGTTGTTCTTTCAATAATTAACAAATACATTATTCATTATATTTTGTTTATGCATATATAGGTACAATTTTATTAATAATTTGTATCTTTTAAGGTATATGCACGTAGGCCCGTGCTTTGTAATATCTGTTTAACTTATTTTTAAAACTTTTATAAAAACCTGAAAAAACTCATAAAGTAATTTATAAACACCTAAAAAAAGACATGTCTTTGCAGGATAATTTCTTATACAACCTATTTCTGAGTAAATACATGTACTAGTGCTTGTCAAAAATTTAACATAAAGAAGTATGGTGTTATTATAATATTTAAATACGTAAGACACCAAATCCTTAAATTTATGTTAAAAAGTATGTAAATAAAAAAATATTCGAGTGCAAGAGACTTTCAAAAACATTTACCATATAATTATGAATCTCCCCACCTCCTTAAAAAAATATCACAAAATATCTTTATTTGAAATAATTCCCAAAATCATACATGTGTATATGCCATTCTTTTCATTCAATTATTTCGAGTAATACAGGTATATGTATATAAGGTTAAAAAGCTCATATTTTATCACAGCATTTTGAACCCATTTTGCGATATCATATTTTACAAAAATTCAAATATAAATAAATCTTAAGTTAGTTTATATGAATATTAGTAAAGATTTAGGCCTATAAATGCAAATAAAAATTGTATGTCTTTGTGTGTATAAAATGTTCTTTTTTGCGATAAGTAAATTCGAACTTTTGATAACGATCATATACATGTAGTACGTATTTGAAGTCATGAAATATTTGGCTGTTTATTTCTTTAAAAAAAAATAATTGCAAGAAAGATAATTTAATTTTATAAAAGTTATCAAATCACAAAAAATTACCAAAAGTGACAGTGGACGTATTTTGACGTATTGTACTTCCGTCCTTTACAAGTTCTAATATCAAATTTTGGCTTCCACGTTTTAACAGGTGACAGTTCACAATTAAAGGGGATCCTGGTCGCACTATTTTGGGAAATGCGGCTAGTAATTTACTAAAAAGAAAATAATCATTATGAAAAAGTTTAATCTATTATTTTACTTTATTATACATATTTTAAATATTTTCATTTTTATTTAAAGGTACTTGGACACAGATTATTTTCTCTATAATATTACGACTTATATATTGTAATAGCATTTCACATAAAAATTAATTAAAAATCTTATTTCATACAAAAGATATTAAAATTTCAAAGTTTTTCGTGGGTTTGATTGACACATCCTTGCACTTTTACAAATTAATTTTATTCTTAATCCTTAGGAAAAGTGGCAATCTCGTTTTGTATACATGAAAAATATTTATACCATAATCTAGAAAATTCGGAGTAGACATATTTGAAAGCAAAACAAACACACAAAATATTTTCAGTCCGTGCAGTTGTGGTAAGCAGATTGTGACGACTGAACGCACCCGGTGAATAATAAACATAAACAATAACAGAACTTGCCATGTTTACAAAAACTGTGTACATAACAGGAGTATGGTCGGTTTGCTAAACTGTACGAAACTCTGAGTTCGGAATGCCGATACTTGTGAAGGTGTTTTGCTTTCTAACATTTCTACTCTGAATAAAATTATTTTTCTGGATAAAAGTTTTAAAATTTCTCATTAATACACAACAAACTTGCCACTTTTCCTAAGGATTAAGAATAAGGTTAAATTTTTTGAAAGTGCAAGGATGTGTCAATCGAACCCGCCAAAAAATTTGAACTTTTAAATGAAACAAGATTTTAATCATTTTTTGTGAAATGCTATTAAGATATATAAGTCGTAATATTATAGAGAAAATATTGACTTCAAACCAGTGTTCAAGTACCTTTAATAAGAATTTTACCTGGCTGATGCTGCATATATTCCTATCCAGACCAATAGGAAGCTCAACGATATCCAGAATAAAATCTGGAATTTCTAAAATAAAAACAATGTATATTTGTACTTGTGAAATACTGTTACATTTTGTTATTTTTGTCATGCTGTAAATTTCTAATCAATCGGGTGTAAGTAAATACAATATTTACATAATTACATTTTTTGGCCCACTAAAATCAACTTCATCTGAAAAGGATAGGGCATATTCTTTAAAAAGTCTTTGAAAAAGAACATTATACTACAAGGCTGAATTTTAACAGATAATGAAGTTGTAGTCTATGAAGGACGTCAATGAAATGAGAATTTTTATAATCATATTATGATGAAAAGACTATATCTTGGTAAATATTAATAAGACTATATCTAGGAAAAATCTAACTTTCATCGTCAGAAAAATTAATAGAAATTTAAGAAATCATACTAAGGATAATGAACAGGCTTAAAATAGTTCTAGGAGTATACCAATAAAGTCTCATTCAAGACATATACATCATTTAAGATTGATTGATTGATTGATTGTATATTGTTTAACGTCTCTCTCGACGCCACCAGTTGCCGGTAGAGAGCTACAAATTGTGTTCTTTACTCAGCACTCGGAACTTTTGAACAATGAGGGATCTTTTTTGTACCAACACCTACTGCGACACGGAACTTCGGTTTATAGGGTCTCATCTGAAAGACCGGTCCCACAATTGTATTCGAACCTGCGACGTAATGATCGAACCCTTTCGTTGCGATTTATGAGCAGACGCTCTAACCACTGCGCCAAGAGGGCGGCTATTCATTTAAGAATGAGAGGGGGAGAAGAAGGAAACAGATCAAGAGTAGTGACACAAGTAAGCATTGCACCCCTTGACTTTTAAAGCAGTAAACAGGTAGGTAGTTTGTTAAGAAAAGATAGATTCGGGATGGATGATTAATCAACCGAGAAAAATATAAAGAACGACATATAATTCATTTGACAAAACTACCATCGTGTCTTTCGCATCCCCACAATTACCCCAATGTTACAGTTTGCTACCCTTAATGTTATGCTTTAAAAAATTCAAGATCTCTCTGATAAATCTGAAAAATTTATTTGATAGCATTGCCACTTTGAAAGTAAAAAAAAACGTTTGAAGAGAACAGGGAAGAAAAAGCGGTAAGTTTTATTCAAACATACTTTTGTAGTATATTTTCTAAAAGTCTTTTTCTTTCCGTTTTTAATATACATAGACCTTTTTAAAAATAATAACAAATATGGATTGTATATTCAAAAGGGTAAAATGAAAACAAACCATTATTTCTCAAATAATCCACAGCTCTCTATTTTCAGAACTAAACAGAAATGAACCAAGCGAAGAGATTGCATGAAACATGTGCAAGTTACCACAATGCTGTGCATGCACGCAAAACATCATTTAGAAGGTTGCCTGATACTATTCACATTGTCTCAACACCAACGATAGAGTCCTTTAAGTCACAGCTGGACTCGAACACGTGGTGCCAGCTGGCTAAAGTATCTCCTAAACATGCCGATTTTTTTTAGCTTTTTATTGAACATACATGTAATACCCTGATTGGGTTTTAGCTTTAATATGTCCGAAACGTATCAGTACCACAGTCAGTATAACACTCTACTTACATTTTAAATCGTATGGAAGAAAAAAAAAAGAACCATGCAAATCCTTGTAAAGACATTTACTTTTAAAAATAAAAGAATAAAGGTGCATTTTATGTTTTTATGTAATATACAAGATTTGTTATGTAATATACAAGATTTTATTGTTTCCTTTAATTACTAAATCTTTGATTGTATTTAATTTTCACTCTCGAGTTCTCAATAGAACATCAGGTAAAATTGAGATAGTTTGTACATGTAGTTAAGAAGTTAAAATGATGCTTACCGGTGCGTTAAAAGAAGCACTAATTTTTATTCAAAGTTTACATGGTAGCCACTAGCATGACTAGAGGGTGCAAAAGTAGGACATTTTCCAGAATTTCCTCAATTCTGGTGGAATTTCATCATATTTTGCGATAATTTCTCTTCGGAAAACATAAAGCACAAACTTGGCCTATCTGACATTTTCACACATAAATTGCATCTGATATTAGTGTATAAAATATATAAATTTGGTAGATAGGCAAGCGTGTGCTCTATATTTTCCGAAACAAAATGTGCCGTAAAATTGATGAAAGTTTGCATAAAAATGAGAAATTTCGAAAATTGACCTATTTCCTTACACCACTGTGGCCCTTGTATATTCTTAATCATAGAACCAATACTCATTTTGTGGCAGGGCTGAGAACAGGTTCTTATGGATAAACTGTAGCATCATAATGAAAGACACTCAAAATCGGGGGATAAATAATGGTACCCTATCTTTTCCGTTTTTTGTCCCATTTACTACTTAAAATTGTCCTCATTTTTCTTAACTTCTTTCATTTTGATATTAATCTATCTGTTTTGTTTTTTTATGGGACACAGAGGAAGGACAGATATACAAGCTGACAAGCCCCCCCCCCCCCCCACAGATTCACATATATCAAGGTGTAACTGATTTTCTAATGCCCTGTTCACACGGAGAGTTTAATTCGAATTGAACGTAAAGTTACTGAGAATTAGCTTTGCTTAGCGTTCACATGGAGAACTTAATTTGAATTAGTTTTATATGAATTAATTTACTGCACATTAATACTTTGCATTAGCTCCGTGAGAAAGCTGAGGGAAGCAAATTCAAATTAAATTTGGAATAGTTCAGAATTTAGTCACAGTACACATATTAGTGCTTAGATACAGGTACCTGTTCTATATTTGGTTCAAAAGCCAAGAGAAAGGATGATAATCACTAAATGTATACCGGTAGCAATGATTATGATTATCATATCAAATGGATAGCTCTGCATGTACATTGTTGTACATGTACATGTGAGTTGTACATGACATGAGTTACAAATGACGTCATAATAGTCTTACGAAATAGTCTTTTTGTAGTAATAAAATTTTAATTCGCATTATTTTACTTCGGTTAAGCTGTCGCGTGAAAGCAATTTATTTATTTTAAATTTTTATTTGCATTAGTTTTGTTTGCATTAATTTACTGCAAATTAAAATCTCCGTGAGAACTGGACATTATTTGTAACATGTCACCTCACATATAAAAACGCTCTTTCAACTCTTAGGAAATGATAAGAGTAACTTCAACAGAAATTTAAAATTAACATTAGATGTGCTCACAGAATTCGATTAACTGTTACCTGTTTTCCCCAGTACAGATTAAGATAATAATACAGTGATTTTTTTCATAGTTATATATGTACATTTCATTGTCACATTATCACAAAAACTGATTCCATATTTATATATACATATATTATTTGATTTACTATATGTATTAGAAATAAAATGATTATGTGTAACATTTTATCTAAATAGTAAAGCACCTTGCGTGATTTTGTAGGGCTTATTGTTAAGTCAATGAATTTTTAGGGAGCTTAGTTAGGGCCCCATCCCTGACAGCTGCTATACTTATCAGCTGTTCATTGTTATAAGTCTGAGACATAAATCTGAAGAAAAGTCACCTCACTTTCAACCTCATGAAAGATTTGGATGAAGTTATTGTTTAGACAATAAAATTTTCGATACTCGAACTTTGAACGAGTTGTTAATGTCATTGTGTCATAATTTTTTACTTTCTTAAACACAATTCCCCTAGTACGCACGGTAAATAATATACAATAAGTAACAAATCTTTAAAACAAATAATGTAGCAATTACATTAATTTTTCTCTTATAAGTTTATGACTAATGATCGACACAGATAAGATATAAGACATATAAGATATTAAATACTGTCAACGAATTTTCAATTTTCTTTTATCATGACAAGGAGCACACAGCAGTGCTCAATGGTCGGTATGGGATGCTTACACCTCCATGGCATGTGATCCAAACTGCTGATGTTTTGGAGGCCTTTGCATTGTTAAATGAACTTTGAGCTCGGATATTGTATGTTCTCTCCATATGATTCATGCTAAGCAGTTGTTTGACGTCATGCAACAATATACCGAGCCACAAACACTATTAATTTAAAACTCCGTAAACATATTTTTTATATAATAAGTTAAGTGATTTATTTATCTGCAAGCATATCCACTATCTCCTAGCAAAACTCCATTTTCAAATAGGCCATTTTCTTCCTCCTCCAAATATGTTCTAATCTGACAATGCAATTCCAAGTCAACTTACAAATCCTTATTCATAATAGACTCTCAATACATTTGCTGTGAATAATAGATTTAAAGAAATAAATTGAGATGAAATGTATTTTAATTTCATGAAATGGGTATAAAATGCCCTAACATGAGAGAATGAAAGTTAGAAGATGACAGAGAGGGATTGAATATGTGTTGCATGCGATCAACACTCTTTAAAAATTATTTAAATATTATCATATTTTAGCTTAATTACCTGTGATGTTCTGAAGATGTGGGAATCATGTAACAGACCCAGGCCATGATGCATTGATATTTGTTACTTTTCCTGTAATAGATGTAGTTAAGTAGCAGTTATAGTTAACCAAGAACTAGTAATTGATTATTACTTAATTTGTACCATTATTGAACTGATTTAAAATTCATGCACTTTCTATGAGGGGGTGGGGTGGGGGGGCAAGTGGTGCATTATTTAATTTCAATATAACTGTGGAGGACATTACTTGCAATGTCATAGATTCAATGTTGTATATTCAATAACCAATTGCAAATATATATGGAAAATTCATAATGTACGAGTATATCATTCAAGATCAGATTCATAAAAAAAAATAAAAAATATTGGACAATTTTTTTTAAAATTATTTTTCATATTCACACCTATATCTTCAGATCAATCTCTTTTTCAATTTTTATTTACCACATTAATTTATTTTTCTTGTACATGCACTACTCTTGTGTGGCAATGCACTGATGTTTTATAACAGGTAGTTGCTGTAAAATGGATACTCAGTAGATGGATCCGCCACATTATTTTTTCAAAGGGGAGGTTAATCTACATGACATGCATAGATCATTTTAAAAAATCGTTATTAACAATGAATACACAACTATAGTACGATAATTATGGAAGAGGGATTGTTAAAGGATATGTGAAAAACCTATTAATTCAATACACAGGAAAAACGAAGTTTTAGTACATGTTTAAAAACCCCATCGAACAAAAATGATACAAGGGGCCTTACAAAGTCGGTTATATTTACCTTCGTGGTCACATACAGCTTGGACTTTGATGCTGTGGTATCCTTTCCATTAACGAAGGAATTTTCGTCTTGTGATGGGGCCTGGATTCATCATGCGTGCCATCGATGCATCCCACAACATTGGGGAAACCTGCTAGCCGGTAAAACCCTGTTTTGGTGCAAGATTTTGTTGTTGCGTCGGGCCATTGAATAAATGTGTCAGCTTTCGCAACCAGTGCTTCGGTGACTCTCTTACAGTACCCGCATCGTTATTCTTTACAGGATACACGATACGATAGGATACACGCACGATACGATAGGATACACGCACGATACAATAGGATACACGCACGATAGGACAGGATACACGCACGATAGGATAAACGCAAAACACGATAAACGCAAAACACGATACACGCAAAACACGATAAACGCAAAACACGATATACCTGATAAACGATCTACACGATAGGATAAACGCAAAACCTGATAGGATTGTTTCAAAATGCGGAACGTTTTTTGACAAGACGAAAAGATTATTTTGAATTAAATTTAAAGATTAAAGACTATTTAAATTAAATTATATTTTAATTTAAATACTCGCAGAGCTTCAAATCTAAACTATAAAGTACATTTACTTATTATAAAAAGAACCTGAGATCTATGTATTAATTTTACAAAAGTTGTTTATTTATAAATATAAAAAATTGACAGTGATTAAATGGATTTTTATAAAATGGAGACTGTATTTTTTTTTTAAACTTCTTCTCAAGTGAGTGAATTTTGAAACCCTATAAACAGATTTATTATTTATGAAAAATATACATTTTAATTTTCTATCTAATAAATTTATCTACAAGTACCAAGTTATTTCACGGAAGAAATTTACGCAATAAATTAAATATTTGTATTTAATGTCAAAAGCTTAATCTGCAATGTATCCAAAAATCGCAATTACATGTAAATATTAATACCTTAGAAAAAAATACAAGAAGAAGACTGGCCGAAAGAAAGGATTAAAGAAAACGGCTTTAGCAAAATTAATAAATTTAACATGATAGATCTATCAAGAACGAAACAGTTGAAGAAAATTAAATTTTCTGAATAGAAATCTAAATAATTATTAAAATAAT